ATAATTGCTCTATTTCTCGCGCAGTTTGACTGTCTAAGTTTCCTGTTGGTTCATCGGCAAAGATAATTTTTGGCTCCGCAATCAGCGCACGGGCAATTGCGACGCGCTGCTGCTCCCCACCCGAAAGTACCTTCGGTGTTTGGGTGACCTGTCGCTCCAATCCAACTTTTTGCAACAAACTCAAAGCGCGTTGCTCCGCTTCAGCGAAGTTAAATGATGCATGAAGCCGTAACGGCAGCATCACATTTTCAACAGCAGTCAGGTGTGGCAGCAGTTGAAAGGACTGAAACACAAAGCCAATATGCTTTAAACGCACCAGTGCACGCTGTTCTTCATTGAGCTTGGAAATACTTTCACCACAAACGATTAGCTCACCACCGCTAGCCTGATCTAAAGTCGCCAAAATACCCAGTAAGGTAGACTTTCCTGAACCTGAACGTCCTGTAATTGCGACTTGTTCACCTGCTAATATGCTGAGACTCAAATCTGAGAAAATGGTCAGTTCTTTTTGCGGAAGTTTAATCTTTTGTGTCAGTTGCTGGGCAGAAATAATCACTTGTGGCATGATGCTTACATCACTATGAACTTGGGTCATAACATCCCTATATGCAAATATTCGTGCAAAATCGCAAATTTAAAAAACGTATCAGTTCATACTTGGTTTTGCTTGCACTGTGCCTAAGCCCCACTTGGGTTTTTGCAAAAACCGTGATGGTTTTAGGAGATAGCATTAGTGCAGGTTATGGCATAGAACCACAGCAAGCATGGGTAAATTTACTGCAAAAACGGTTAGACCAACAGTATCCGAAACAACACAAAGTGGTCAATGCCAGTGTGAGTGGTGAAACCACCAGTGGTGCTTTGGCTCGTTTACCCAAACTGTTGCAAACGCATAAGCCAAATGTGGTGGTGATTGAGCTTGGCGGGAATGATGGACTACGGGGTCAGCCACCTCAGATGATTCAAAAAAATTTAGCGCAATTGATTCAGCAGAGTCAAAAAGCCAATGCCACTGTGGTTGTCTTGGGAATGAAAATGCCACCAAACTATGGCACAGCCTATAGCAAGGCATTTGAAAATAATTACAAAGTGGTCAGTCAACAATACAAAGTTAAATTGCTGCCCTTCTTCTTAGAAGGTGTAGCGGGAAATAAAAGCTTGATGCAAAAAGATTTGGTTCATCCAAATGGCAAGGCACAGCCTATTTTATTAAATTTAGCTTATCCCTATATAAAAGGCGCTTTATAAAGCGCCTTTTACTCTGATCAGCTCATAGGATCAGAAGTCAAAAAAAACCACTTCACCACTTTCAAGTGAGTACTCAGCGCCAACCACTTGTAACTTGCCTTTGGCAATCAAGCTTTCAAGCACAGCTGAGCCATGACGTAACTGATTTACAGAGGCAAATACATTTGAACGCACCGCGTGTTTAGACAGTTTGCATAAGTCATGTTTCAGTTCAGTTTGCATCAAGGTTTCAACCGAAGGACGGACACGGTTTACAATCGACATCAAGTTTGCAGACGGTGGGCTATCTGGGTTCATCAGGGTGTCAATGGTGGCTTGAATCGCACCGCAATGGCTATGACCAAGTACCACAACTACCGCGCAGTCATAACGCTCAGCCGCAAATTCAACACTGCCAACTTGCGAAGGTGCAACCACATTTCCTGCAACACGAATAACAAACAGATCACCCAAACCTTGGTCAAAGACCATTTCTGCAGGCACACGAGAATCAGAACATCCGAGTACAATGGCAAATGGATTTTGGTCTTCCGCCATCTCTGCTCGTGCTTGGTGAGACAATTGCTTATGGTGGGTTGTCTCACCCGCTACAAAACGTTGGTTACCTTGTTTTAGACGGCTTAAAGCTTCTTGAGCTGTTAGCATTCCCTTTCCCACTCGGTTGTTATTAAGTTGGACTAGTTTAATCCCAGCGAAATTGATTGTCACTTGCAAAAAACATAGCCGCTTCTTTTTTTGCTTGATTTTAAATTTGCATTTTATCTCAATCGAATTGTTATGCAGTTCACACTTTATCTAAATGCAGTATATCCTTTCAAATAAATAATTAATGACATTTGCATGAAAGCGATTAGAATCAAACAGACCTGTAAATAAACATAAAAACTATTCAAAATCAGAGCATTTTTATCTTATTCGGTCAGTTTTTTCATTCATCTCCGTTTAAGGATGAACCATGATGATGCGCTCAAAATCCGTCTTGAAACAAAGTCTAAAGGCCGGTCTATTCGCCTTAGCTTTGTCATTTTCTTTCGCCAGCCATGCGGTAGAAAATACCATCATCAAAGACAAGCTCAGTTTACAAAGCTATCTTCTACAAGAACGTGTCACCGCCGGCTTAAAAACCAAAACACTTAAAGTGGATGATATCGTTTGGAGCTATAACGAAGGCGGTGCAGTTGATAAACCAACGATTTTGCTGATTCATGGTTTTGCTGGAAATCGGGACAATTGGAACCGTGTAGCACAGTTTCTAACGCCGTATTACCATGTGGTTATACCTGACCTTCCGACCAATGGCGACACCAAAGTCCCTGATGATTTTGATCTCTCTATGCCAAATGTCACAGAGCGACTCCGTCGTTTTGTTGAAGCCATTCATATACAAGATAAGCTGAATGTTGCAGGACATTCTATCGGTGGTTCTATTGCAACCCTATATGCCGCGCAATACCCTTTTGACACGCAAAGTTTGTTTTTATTAAACAGTGCAGGGATTTATAAGAACGCCAACACCAACTATGCCAAAGACCCGCAATATTTAAAGCACTTGATTGTGAGCAAGCCGGGCGATTTTGATGATGTGATGCAACGTGTCATGCAAACCCCAATCAAAATGCCCTATTATTTAAAACGCGCCCAAGAAAAACAGTTAATTACTCAGGCTGAAAAAAACAGTAAAGTGATTGATCAATTGGTGACCTTGAACCGAATTTATACCACTGACTCCTTTGCTCGAGTGACCCGAAATATTGAAGCGCCCACCCTCATTTTATGGGGTAAGCAGGACAAAATTATCAATGTCGAAGTAGCGAATGAGCTCAAATCTTTATTGAAACGTGCTGAAGCTCCTGTCATCCTTAACAATGTTGGTCATATGCCACTTTTGGAGGCAGAACAAGCAGTTGCACAGCACTACCTGCCTTTTCTTGCAAAAACACAAAAGTTAAAAAATCCATTGGCTGATAAACTGATTCCACTAAATTAATTTTGTTGAGTACGTATGCAGAAACACCCGATGATTGAGCAGCTCATTGAAGCTCATCTTAATTTTTTAGATCATGAGTTTTCGCAAGCAAGTAC